AATTAATATAATAAAATTAAAATTCAATAATAAACTTATTAGCTTCGGACTCACAATGGTTTCCATTTCCTAGTATATTACAATAGAACTCTAATCAAGAAAAAAAATCTTGTTTTTTTCTTGAATTACATTGAAAAAAATCCATAATAATTACTTTTTCTTGGGATTCTTTTTATTTTTCTTATTAACAAACCTTCTGACGAAAAATAACCGCAATTTTTGCTTATCTGTGCCAGACCACATCTCGCAGGACACGACTTGTTGAGTATAAGAAAATTTTTTGTTAAGCATCAGGAACCGTTATATATACGTTATGTACAGTATATAGTTTTTTTATGTAGTCACGTGAAAGTACATAGAACCAATCAGATGCAGTGATCACCAAATAAACGCGAATCTAAACGCGAAAAATTCGAAAAATTAAACAACCTACTTTTTACTCGTATATCTCAATGGATTCAAAGAAGGATTCGATTTCTAAAAAAGAATACGATTTTTTTATTGATGAAGAAAGTCCGACACCAACAGAATTTTTTAAAAAGTTCAATTGCACGTCGAAGAAAACGGCTGTCTCAATTTGGTATTCCGCTCTTAAGGAGATCCTCACAGTTCATGATGATCTCAAACTTGTTAATATTAAGCAAAACTATGAAAATGGTAAATACAAACAAGCCATTGAAGATTATTTTAAAACAAGCGTTCTTGAGAAGGAAAAGGTTTGTCAAATGTGTTTGTGGTTTATCGTGTTCAAGGTTTGTGTTCCCTAATTCTTTCACAATTTACCAGATGTATGTTGATAAGACATTAACAAAAAAAACAAGTAAAGCAATCCAAAGGCGCATAAGTGATCTCCTTCCGGAGGAAACTGATGATCAAGTTCGCTCGAAAAAACCTCGTCTCCTAAAGGAATCGCAACAGAATGATAATTCGATATTAGATTCGAAAATAAGTCAGTCTTATGAAGATTCTGAATATTATGATACCAGGAAACGGCATAATATTTATTCGTGGGAAGATGTAATTGATAAGGTTGATTTCAGAGACACTTCTAAAGAGGATGTGAGTACACGATGTGGTCAATATTCTATTGCATTCACCGTATTAACTAACTATACATACTACGCGCCTTTTCAGTGGATTGTTGAAAGTTACAATCTCTCTAATGAGTTTCGGAACTTTCAACAGCTAACAATTCGACAAGTCAAAGAAAACCCGTATTTATGTTATAAACAAGACATTCAAAAAATTCTGTGAGTATCGCATTCCATCTTATTCATGTAATTTTATGACCATGTTTAACATTATGTTTATTATTTTCTTGTTAAAATAGTTGTCTTTCAAATATAATGCTCATCGAACATACAAAACCTTCGTATATCACTGTCACTTCAGCAATTTGGGACGAAATCTTTCGAAGACAATTACCTTCAAGACTGTTACCAGTAGTGAATGATATGGCTTTTGAGTATTCTTGCGTATGCTACGTTTCCCTCTCTCAGATTCAGAGTTAGGTTACAAGAAATTGATATTAAGCATTTTCTCCTTTACTCTAGATGTTGAATTCTTTTGCATCATTGAGTGAAATTCAGGAAGTATGGTGTCATAATTTTTTCAAAGCTGTGGAATTGAATAATCAAGACATGGACAAATTTTGTCAGGCTCAAATCATTTTTCAAAACTTGTAAGTGTTACACTCATTATAAGTTATAATCAATGTAACGCTGAATGGATATTTTCTTGCTATAGTTTATGGCTGAGTTCGAAAGTCGTGAATACCAATAATGAGGACACCTTTGTCCATGAAGCTTTGTACGACCTATTTAGAGAGATTTTCCGCGATTCAATGTTTGAGTTGATATGGTAAGAGTTTGCGTTTGTAAGTTTACCGTGTGAATTGTCGAATTATGTGAATAATGATGTCTAATTTAATAGGGCAAACAGCGAAAGTTTCGTTTCAAAAAATTGTTGTTCTAGCAGTTCTAGCGATAAGGAAAATTCTCGAGGTAAAAATCCGATTTCAAAATTTTGACTAACACAAGAGATGAGATTCTTTATAGTGAGGCTAAACCGAAAGACTCATCATCTATATTGATCAATAAAGATTTTGTCAAGCTTTCCAATTTCCAAACAAATGCCTTAGACGAATTAGTCGAGAGATATGGAAACAAGATTGGATTAGTTTCTTTCGGTATTTGGGTTTGCGGTAAGTGTTCAAATTGGTTTGACTCTTTAATGCATTTACTAACACATAATTGATTGCATTTATAGGCGCACGTATTCGCATCTATGAGATGGATATAACTCATGACGGAATTTATAGAATGTTCTTAACAGCAAATGTACTCGCCCCAACGGAACAGGCACGATTTTTATGTTTGGTAACAGTGTTAGAAGCATTATATAATGTCAAAGTAAGTAATAAATAGTGATTTCTTTTTACTTCCTTCAGTGCAAATCTCCAAACCATTAAATACTTTTTGATTTAAGCACCGTATTTCCGAAACATTCAAAGTAATTGCTTCTAGCACGCCACGTTCTACTTCACCTAAACCTGTCAAGATTACGATTATTGGCCTATCAAAATAATTAATTCTATACTTTCTGGGTTAGAATTATATTTATATCCTTATCCTTTTCATTTACATTAAATTCAGTAATCGGCTTAGACACTTAATATCCTGTATTCTCGCGAATAAAAATGAAAGTAATGCGCTAAAACTTCTATTAACATTATCGTAACATTCATTCCAAAATTTTTCTTGGCACTTTTTCGAGACCGCGCGTTCCCGGAAATTTGATGACTTTATAACAACATATTTACGTTTTCTTTGCAAATATCTTAGAAAATGTATATAATCCACTAACGGACTTTTGAATATTGTGGAGAACGAACTTATCGTCTCAATGCTGGAATGATCTTTAACGTGGAATCCCAATAGTAAATGTGAAAGAACTTCATGTGAGATCAATCACCTGAAATGCGCATTACGATATCGGTATCATTCTTGTCGAAACCCTTTTTTCAAACCCGCCTCATAAATACCGTAGTATGTATTGCGCTGATGTGTCATTGAAATTCTATCCAGATCACGAGCTAAAAAAGAAATTTTAATTTTTCATAATTTCATTAGTAGTAATGAATATTCTCATATAAGGTGTTTCAAAATTTTTCAAAAAAAAAACAATTATACATTTTTGTTAAAATTGTCCGTCTGTCCACCCCTGTATTTAGTGCAATTCTAACATTACTAAGACCCCTGTATTCAGTGATTTTTGCATTTCACACTAGTATTAATTAATATTATATTTCGTGAAATAAGAGCTTGTATTTATTTAAAAATAAATTTTTTAATATAATTATTTCAAAAAATATTTTTATTTAATTTCACAAAGTTATTTAAAACAAAAATTATTTTTCAATACAAATTATTTTAAAATATTTAAATTTTATATATTAAAAAGTATGCTTAATAAAAAGATTTTTTTATCAATTATTAAAATAAGAATTTTTTATTCTAATTAATTTTGTTTTTGTAAAAAATATATTAATAGTTAATAATATTTAAGCTAAAGTCAAATTTTCAGATTTATTATTTATTATAAAAACTATATTAAGATATGAGACATTAAAAAAAGATTGCTAAATATCGATATATGCAGTATATCGTTGATAAATCGCGTTTTTTGATCATTTATGCAAAAAACGATTATCTTTTGAATCTACTTGCAATTCATAGATGGTGGTTTTTTACACAATAAGTACGCGATTTATGCGCCCTAAAGTTTATTCGAATGGAATAAATAAAAAAATCAATGATTCTCTAACGA